TAAAAAAAAAAATTCTTTATTTGAATGATAATAGAGTCAACCCTGGTAAAATCCGAATCTAGTATTTCAAATTTCTAAGCAAATTTGGATATACCTGAATCCAACCTGATTGTAGACAATCTGTCTACGAATTTGCAGCACTTGCCCTTGGTTTAGGTGGGAGAGGGCTCCTAAGTCATCAAGTTGGAAGATGACCTCACTAGAGCGAGGAAGTGCTTCACCTACTAATAGCTTAGGGAAAAAAAATGGGCCTCGGTCCTCGTGGCAGTGATCTGGTCTAATAATGTTTTCGAACCGTAGTTGATTCGGATGGTCGGACCGTTCGGTTCAGAAACCGTTTAAGTAACCGGTTCTGTTTCACCCTTGACCCGTTCTTAGATAAAAAATCATTGACTTGGTCAGAAAATCATTGACCCGGGTGGTCGAACCGTCGATTCTTTTGACCCAGACAGCAGTTTGCGGTTTGAGAAATTGCAAATCTGAGACACGAACTCAGATCTGATATCCAAGAAGAAGAAGAAAAAGTTGTATATCTCAGAAAAAGAAGAGAAGAAGAAGAAGATCTCAGATCTAGATCTGAGAAAAAATGAAAAATCAATCTCAGATCTGAGATTTGAGAACTCGTATGAGACCTATCATCTACGTTGTGTTACCGTTGTCACCGTCGCCATCTCGTCGCCGCTGTCGTTGTTGCCGTCTAATCATTCTCCTCCTCTTCCTTCTTCTTCCCTCCTTCCCTCTTTCTTTCCTTCCTTTTCTTTCTCTTCTTTTCCTTTTTTTTTCCTTTCTCCTTTCTTTCTTTTCGTCTTCTCTTCCTTCTCAACAGACAAAATACTCTTCTCCAGTCCTCATTTCTCTGTTTCTCATGACTCATATACTATTTGGACTTTCCTAATATGAACTGTCTGAACCGTTTGACCCGGATGGTCGAACTGCTGGCCCGGAAACTGGTAGCTGAAATGGTTCTGTTTCCGGGTCAGTTTTTAAAACCTTAGGTCTAATTTCTTACTTACTTGTTGTTCTATTACAGAACAACTACTTTCTTACTTGTTCTTTACAGAAGAGACGCAAATGGAAAAGCTCGATGAATGGTTAATATGTGGACATATCCTTGGATACCTACGTTTCCAGGTTATAAAATTCCTATGGTAAAACCTCCAATTTGCGAGTCTGGATCTCCTGCCTACAAGAACCCTGCCCATGTTTATCGCAACCACACATGGAGAACATTTCATCCTCTGCATAATATTATGTAGGGGAAGATGTTCCCAGTTCACGGGGGTGGTGTATTGTGGGTAGGCGTGGGCAAGAGATCCATAGTCCCAATTTGCACTTTGGAGAAGGTGAATGACTAGGGGTGTCCATGGTTCAGATAACCAAACCATGGCCTTTTTTTGTAAATCAAACCAGTGGTACTAGTTTTTTCATTTCTTCTAATCGAAACCGAATTGATACCACCGGTTAACCGGTTCATCGGTTTGTTTTTCGGTTTTTTATATTTATAATATATATTATATAAATATATGTATAATATTATATTATAAATAATATATAATATATAATATATTATAAATATTTTAAAATATAATATATATATATAATATGTTTATAAATATAATATAAGTATATATTTATATATGTAATGAATATATATTTATATATAATATATAAAAATATGTGACATATATTATATATATATATATACTAGTCGGTTCGATGACCTGTTGTGTCAGTCTGGGAGTGAGTGGGACTATCAAAAGCTTAACAGTGTTTTTTCCCCGGTTGTAGAGGAGATGTTAACATTCCCCACGATTATGTGGCTGACAGACTTGTTTGGATGTTTAGTAGAAATGGGCAGTTTTCAGTAAGATCTACTTATCATAATTCATGAAAATGGTTTGGATGGGGAGTTGAGGAATTTGTCTAGTTTGAATCAAACCTCTGATAACTCTGTTATTTGGAATCACAGTAGGAGCCATTCCTTAGAATTAAGATTTTTATGTGGAAAATTTTTAAAGGATAGCCTCCCTGTTATGAGCAATCTGCACAAGAGGAAAAAAAGTCTGTCTGCTAGTAGTCCTATACGCCAGAAATGAATCCAAATGAATCTATTGCTCATACTATTCTTAATTTATTGTAGTGCTGCAATCCCTGTGTGGATGGGCTCCCAGCTGGGATTTTGTTTTGATGAGAATTTAAACTTATCAGTTCGTGACCTGGTACCTCATTGGCTTAAGGATAACTCCCTCTCGAAGATGGACAAAAGGAACTTAGTTTTTCATTTCTCTGTGGTTGCTTGGCAGATCTGGAATAATAGAAAAAAAATATTTCATTTATAATGGGAATTGTCCGAACTCTAATGCTGGTGTTTTTATTTTTGATAATAATAGAACAGGTTTCATTGTTAGCATCGTATTTTCTATCGATTAAACATATCTCCCATCGTTTAGTTGTTTCAGAACTACCATTTTTAGGATCGGCATTCTAGATCTACCATTTATGTATAGGAATCTCCCGCCCAGGTTCATATGCAGTGGTCATCTCCTTCGTTTTCCGGTTGGATTCATGTCTTCAATTTTCTTTTCATTCTATTCTTGTTTTCCTTAATTCTTTTTTTCAGTTTGAATCAGAAAACAAGTGGGATCCTCCGATCGGTTCAGCCTGAAGTAACAAATCCCTTATTGTGCATCCCTATACAGATCAGTTTTTGTTTGTGTACTCCTATACAGTTCTGTTTCTGTTGTCACCAATGAAGCAATGGTGTGTTGGCCTGTCCCTTGCAACATTAATAAATGAGAATTGCAATGGGAATGTTGATCAATGGATCTTGTATTTTGTTGATTAAAGTTTCCTAGAAAACAAACGTGGAAGATGAATTTTAATCATATTGTTTCTTGAAAAACAAATATGGGATGCAAAATTGAGAAAAAAATATATTGTCTTTCTCGACAATCAAACAGACCATAAAGGTAATGCCACTGCACCAAACACCCCTTGATTTAAAAGCAAATAAAAAATAGTTCGTTTATGAAGATATATTCTTGGTTGTATGGGTATATTTTATTGGAGACGACAAAGATTACATTGAGGCCGAAAATGGTGGCATAATCCATGATCAGAAAATTCAAGAAGGTTTATGTGAAAGTTGAAACTAATAATAGCTGAGGGGAGAATGGTGTTTGTGGTAGAGTTCGCTGATAGTAGAACCGATGGTTATGTTTACCGAGGCAGAAGCAAGGTTTTTTGAGGACTTGGGATGTGTTCACCATATGATTAATTTTGTTCAGCAAATAGAACATGAATTTGTTGACATGGCGGTTGTTTTTGTCAAGATTTTAAAAACCAAGTCAGAAATAGAACCATTTTGATCATTGATATTCGGGCTAGCAGTTCTGATGCTCAGGTGGAACGGTTCAAGTATTTTGACCTTTAGATTGAAATATTAGGGTTGTATCTCTCTTCTTTTATGAGAAAAGAGAGAGAGCTAGGTGGCTATTGGCTGAGAAAACAAGAAAAAAAAAAGGAATGAATGAATGAAAGGGAAAAAAAAGGAAAAAAGGGGAAAAAAGGAAAGAGTGAAAGAAAGAAAAAAGAAAAAGAAGGCAATTATCACCAGTGATGATGATGGTAATGGTAACAATCATGGCAACATTTATCTCTCTGATCTCATCAGTCTGAGCTCTTTCTCTCTCTCTTTGATATGATCTAAGATCGTGTCTCAGTTCCTCCCCCACCAATCTCCTTTTCTCTCTATTAATAATTTTAAAAAATTAAAAATTTTTATTAAACTACAAATCGCTACTCAACGATTTAAAAGTTTGACCATCCAAGTCAACAGTTCTCTAACCAATTCAATGCTTTTCTAAAGCGGTCCAATCTAAAAACAGACCAAAAAACATGACTAGTTCTCAAGTCAAACAATTTGACTGTCCAATCCAGTCCAGTTTTTAGAATATTGGTTTTTGTTTAGAAGTGTAAATCAAGTCGTGTCAGACCGGCATGACACAACTTTGTGGACCACCCATTCTTTAGTGAACTACCCATGAGCCTTGTAGGTTGTGCCTGCTTCCTCCAGGATCCTTTAGAGGTCAGACCCAAGAGAACCCACGGCACGAGCCCAAGCAGGCCCAGTCCAGGTCAGGTTGTGTTGTAGGCAGGCTAGGCCATGAAAGGCATATTTAAAAAAATGAAAAAAAAAATAATAAACATTATAAAATAAATTAATAAAATAGATAAAATTTTGAAAAAAAAAAACTTAAAATTTTATTTTATATGAAATTTTGATGTATATTATAGTTTATTTATGAAATAAAAAATAAATTAAAAAATTATAATACAATTAGAATAAAATAATATAATAAAATTAAAAATAAAAATGTATATATAATAATATATTTAATCATTATTACATACTTTAAAAATCCAAGCCCAACACAGCTCGGATGTATGCACGGTCCGGCCCAATTTAGACCTCAATAACACAACCTTTGTTTTGAAAAAAAAAAAAAAAAATCAACCATAATGACGAACACACGCTAGGTTAAATCGATATTAAAAGAAGAGGGAATTCTAAGATGGAGTCGGGCTCATTGAGGATGTTTAGCAATAATAACTGTGTTTTTCCCCCGATTCTTTAAGTTAGAATTATCAGCAATTAAGCACAACAAAAAAAATGCTTGTTTTGGTTCTTATTTTGAAAACAAAAAAAAAATAGTGGTTATTGGATTTGGGAAATAATTGAGCCTTGGAGATTTGGTGTTCAAACAAGTGAACAACTTGGGTTGGGCTGGAATTGAATTCAACCCCTTCCATCCTATCTCAGTTGAGGTCAATTCCTTTTAGGCCCATGTTCGGAGTTGAGATTTTCTAGGCAGGTGATCTGGACTCCCAAGATCGACCTAAAAGGCTAAAACCCAAAAATCCAAGCCTAATCCATTGCAACAATGTTGGGTAGGAGCCAGCTGTCCAATATGCAGCCCACAAAAGTCGAAGCAGAAGACTTCATAAATGTCAAATTAACACCAATGCTTGCCTTAGCTTGTCGTCTAGACGACCAAGAGAATTTTTCTTGGCAGTTTCTTGGTATCTCTCTCTCTCTCTCTCTCTCTCGCTCGCTCGCTCGCTCTTGATACTATAGTGTTTCCTTGCTTATAATTTACAAGAGCTGGCAGTCTGGCACAACATCAGATTAGATGGTTGACACCCAACTAATTACAAATTTATAACTTACAAGTTAGAATCTCTAATTCCATGTCGTTTCAAAGTAGATACAACCCCATCTTCCATGCCTTTCGGTTGAGGATCCGGCTACAGATAAAACCAGAAAAACTTGGCATCGTTTAGCTATCCTATACTATACTATCCGGCTAGTATATATGAATCAACTTCACAGACACAGTTCACAGCTTTAACTTCTTTCGTATTTACAAACAGAAAGCGCAAACAGAGAAAGGGCACTAACTGGTCCATTTCACTCCCTGCCGACTCCTGAGTCCTGACTCGTTTCATTAATCTGTCTCGTGGTCTGGGGCAGGTGAATACCAAGCGGGGAATTTACCCTTGGTTCTGAGGAGCCTGGTGTAGGGTGAGTCTGGCATTCTGCCTTTCTCTTCCTCTTCCAGCTCTTCCTGCGATTTGGGCAGTCCGTCTGGCACCGGAAAAGGTTTCTTTCTTTCTTTCTCAGTGCTCGATTGCTTCCTCGATTCAGCATCCTCCTTTTTCCTCTTATTAATAGCCGAAATCCCGTGAACGCAGTCGATGAGCGACTTAATTCCTCCCGACTGAATAAGCAGCTTCTCAATTTCTTCTTTAGACAACTTCCTCTGTGTATTACAAGTTAGGATCATAAAACTTTTCAACATTAATTATTGTCTCGCTCCATTATCAATCAACTCTAAGAAAATTAGAAAAGCCCACTCACTTCGAGATCTTTCAATTCGAAATAGGCTCTCCAACAGCTGTAGGACGCATCTCCTTCAAGCGTCGAACAATAATCTGAAGGAAAAATTAAGAAACATAAACAGTTTAACAAAACTCCACATGAAAATTAAAAACCTGAAAACCCATAAATTACGAATACAAGTTAGAAAGCAGAACAAACACCTAACCGACAAAATCTCTACCGATTACAAGCGGAATGAAAAGGAAATAATTAAGAGTTTTGGGATACCGGCAAGATCGTTTTCAGTCTTCTGTATTAGGGAGGGCTCTTTAAGACGTCGATCGATCTTGCTTCTGCTGAAAGGTTCGAGCTTTGGGATATAAGCATGGCTTCTCGAAGAAGAACAGATGGTCGATACAGCTCTCGAAGATGACCTCGATCGGTGAAGATCGTTAGATTCCAGAATCGCAGAGCTGCTAGACGACGAAGGTAGAGGAACAGATCTCAACATTTTTCATTCGTTCTGGTTTCATCAATACATGCTTCTCAGAGCAAAGTTATGTCCTTTATATTAACACAAAACAGGAGAAGCCGTTGATTGAAGGAAAGAAAGGACGTTGCTGCCAACGGATAAGGATGAAAAAAATAATATTTTATTATTATCGTTAAATTCTAAATCCGGTTTTTAAAAGAGGGGGTTATGTCATAACTCTCAATGGCCGATGGATAATCGCTAAGAGAGGGAGAATACAGGATCTAAGCCGTTGGTTTTGAAGGCAAACAGCGTCTCGTAGGGGTGGATTCCCTTAAGCTAATAAGCTAAGCTGAGTGACGTACGGATTGCGTACTAAAATGAGCAAGTGTAGGAATATCAGGCGGAGTGTCTTTTCCGTGACGATGAACGCGGCGACGTGAATTGGAGAAACAGTGGGCGGTTTGCGTGAACTTAACGGATAACCACCGAATGTAGAAGTTCAATAAATAGTCGTTCGTTATCGTTGCACTTTATTTTAAGACAGAGGACAGGTGCCCGGTGGATGATAACGTAGTAGGGCGACATAGCGGAATAAAATAGGGGACCGGTGGTTTAGGGTAACAGCATACAGGTAACAGGTTGTAGGTTGAAGGAACAGAAGCAATAAAATAAGAGGGAAGAGGAAGAAGAGACGGGTGTTAGAGGTGTTATCACTTATCATTCCACCGTTCCACGCATCGCACGATATCAAGGCCATGTTTGGGAGTGCTAAGTGTTTATTTAGTCAGATCACACCATTTAATACTGTTTTTTTTTTTTAAGGTCATTTAATACTTGTTGATGTTTGGGAAATAAGTCTAAAATAAATGTTTATTTTAAAAATAAAGATTTACTTTTTAAGTTTAAATTCAAATCTATGAAGCTGAAAAGATATGATATAGGAAGAGTTTTGATCAATCAAAATCCATTAATAAATTTTGATAAATAACACTTGATTGACTACCGGTTTTCAGTTGATTGGTAATAAGTTTTTCAGATATCATATCTTTTCTATATCATAGTGGTACCTATATATAATAGGGAAAAGTAATCTACACCTCATGCAGAATTCTGAATTACAACCCATATAATAAGTATATATATTCCATTTTTTATTTCAAAATCATCTCTAGTTTAATTTTATAAAAGTGTTTTTACAAAAATGCTTTCATAAAAGTGTTTTTGTAAAAGTAATTTAATAAAAATACTTTCATAAAGGTATATTTTGAAATTTAAAAAAAAAATGAAAGATAAATTAGTCACAAATGCTTATTTAAGTGTTTCTTAGAGAAAAAGATTACCAAACACCCAATATGAAATAAACGATTAAAAAAATTGGATGCCAAATGCTAATAAATGCTTATTTGAATAAGCACTTATTTTTAACATAAAGGTATCCCAAACGTATCGCAAGTCCAATGATGTCTCAAGACATGTATGTAACTTAACCTAACATTATCTATGTATAGTACTAGTGCCCTTTGTTTGTCAAGTAAAGGCATTATTTTATGGTTGGATAGGCTCTGTTATTTTTTATTATTTTTTGTTAATTATTAAATAAAATTTATTTTTATTAATTAATCTTAAAATAATGATAATAATAATCATATATTAATTCTACCTTATTTTCAATAGAATCTATTTTGAATAATTAAAGGGAATTTAAATTATCCAAGTTATAATTAATTATTATAATGATATTAAGTGAATTTTGTTTAAAATGTACCATCTAACTCTCACATGTACACGGCATGGGTCATGGGAAATAGGTTTAAGGAAATTAAAGTAAAAAGAGCGCTAAAATAGGTTTTGGGAAAATGTAATTTTTCCTTGACAATAAAAGAAAAAATTACTAATATTAATATTTACTAATAATTAATTAAAATAAAAAACCAATAGTTTTATTGTTATTAAGAAAATTCTCAAAAACAATTTTCATAAAATTATAAATCTCAAATTAATTTTTACCACTATTAATTTTAGTTTATTATAATGCTAGTTTTGGTTAATTTATAGGAAATACTGATAATTTACTATTAAATAATAATTATAAAAAACAATAACTCATTGTAACTTCTCGTTAAATTTAAAAAAGAAAGCTAATATATGGTAATTTACAATAATTATTAATAATTTACGGTTAAATTAAAAGAAGAAAAATATCAATAATTTCCTCGTAATTTACAATTAAATTACCAGCAGGTGTCTCCTTGTCTAAATCTGATGGCGATCCTCTCCCTGACCCGGCTGAGTACAGACGCACAATGGGTGCCCTTCATTATATTCTTCTCACACTAAAGTGAATCAATTCATGCATAGTCCCACCAATGTCCATTGGGCCCTTCGCTATTTGAAGTATACCTGGACTTTGAATTCACCATAGATCGTTCTACTAATCTCTCATTATCTCCATATTGCGATGATGATTGGACAGGTTGCCCCATGACCACAAGTCATGGGCCCAACCACCCAAATGCCATCTCCTTGTCCTTGAAGAAACATGCCACAATTTCCTGTTAGAGTACCTGGGCTGAATACCGCACCCTTGCTATTACTGCTTTCGAGGTACTTTGGCTACAATCATTTTTAGATGAGTTGCACAATCTAAGCTCCTCTTCGCTGGTGCTCTGGTGTAAAGATGCTCTGGTGTAATGGCATCAGCGCTATATACCTGTCATCTAATCCAGTTTTTCACCCCCATTCCAAACACGTATGAGGACATTCCTTTTGCGTGTCAGTACGTTCAGTCTCAGTGCTTTGCCATCTGAAAAGGATCAAAATTGACCACAAGGGCAAGGATGCAAAGTTATTGGAGTAGGGTGTCATCTAGTCTCGGCACCTCGGCTGTTAAGAGCAACCTGCAATTATAAAAGATAGAGGCCCTAGGTGATCCTAAGGGCATGGATTATGACGGTTAAGTCAGTAATGTCAAAGGAAAATAAGGTGAACTTGAAAGCTTAATGAGATGAGGTGAGAGCTCGTATAGAGAGCTAGAGAGCTTATATGTATGAGCAGGAGAGCTCTTATGGATGGGCTGAAGAGATCCATGTGATGAGCTGAAGAGCTCATAGGGGGAGCTTGTGAACTCTATGTGTTGAGATGTCCAGCCTGCCTTGTTCATAGTAGCGTACTACCATGTTCCGTTGTGTCCAAATGAATAGGGGATTCATCTATTTATAGGAGAGGGGCTTCATCTAAGGATCGACATATCTCTCACACGTGGTCGGAGTTTAGTCCACTTGTCGTGCCCTCAGTTGACATGCTGTGTGCACGTGGTAGGCAGTGGACCTGTATTGAGTGTGTTGACATTGACATTTTGATTAGCTCGATCACGTGTTGCTTGTGCATGTTATGAATTAGTGTCATATCAGCTCGTTAGGACTTTGTCAACTCATAACTCATCAAGATCGGGTCAACTCGTCAATTGGCAACTTTAGCCCCCAATATGCTATCACTTGGTGGTTTCTAACTGGTGGTCGGTTTTGGCCATATCACTATCCATTTCATTTCTTCTTGAGACCAATTTGTTTGATGTCTTTACTAGGTCCCTTGCTAGTCCTCGCCTTTCTTTTATTTGTGGCAAGTTGAAGATTGCTATCCCCACCTTCAACTTGAAGGAGGTGTTAGTGATATAATGTAACCATGCCACTCACCCCATGCCATTCTCAAGAGATCAAGTCCAATGTTGTCTCCCCAACAACTCAGGATAAACATGCACATTGAGATAACTCATGAAGTCTTAATTTCCTTGTAACTTAACCTCTCATTCTATTGTTGTAACCATTTTCATATACTATGTGACACGTGTACAGGTTTGTTTTGAATTCTTTACAAGTATAAATATAGATGAACCTCCACAAGAATTACATCAAAGGAGTTCTTAATATTTCTGGCACTGTGTTCTTATAAGGGGGAAAGAGGTGTAGCAATAAGCTATTTTTGTTTTCATTGCCACCTCTATTATGTTCAATGGTGAAGGGGTGAATGGTGAAGAAGTGGAGGAAGGAAATAGAATAAAAGGGAAAGAAAAAAAAATGAAAGTGGAGAAGGAGGAGGGAGAGAATGGGGAAGATGAGACAGCTGAACTCTCACACGGTCATACTTGGGAGACAAACCCACAGAAGGCAGTTTACATGTGTTAGGTTGGCACGACCTACATTTTTGTGTTGCCTGCACTGTTATGGGCTGTACCGGCATGGTCCATGCAGGTTGGGGATAGGGCGCAGCACAAGCCTGGGCTTGTGGCCCGTGGGCCTTGCGCCAGACTGAGCCATCCCATATTATTTCATTTTTCTTTCTTTCTTTTTTTGTTTTTGCTGTAAAAAAATAAAAGGCTCAAACACAAAAAATAATGAAAATTGAAGGAAAATTACAAATTCAATGATTGTAACAATAATTTGAAAAAAAAAATCATCTTAAAATTTTATTTCATGTGAATAATTAATTTATACAATAAAAATATAAGATGATTAAATAAAATTGAAAAAAAATACAATAAAATTGAAAATTTCTATAACAAAATAGAAAAAAAATTACAAATAACTTCCAAGGTACAAATAAAATTGATAAAAATATCAAATTTTACAATAATCTAAAAAGTTTTCTTCAAGTCCCTCTAAGTCGTGATACATAGATGACATGTCATGTCCTCTTTTGTCTTGAAGTCTACTTCTGCATTCAACAAATCTTTTGGAGAAATGCACATACTTGGATGTTTCATCCATCATTTAGCTCATCCTCTCATCTATCTACTATGTACATTGGAGGGCTTATTATCATGTGCCATAGCGTCAAGTATAGGATAATTATTTTCCTATGCTTTCCATCATGGTAAAATATCAAAATTTCCTATGTTTGTCATCTAACAATTTGATAAATGCCTTTTTCGAATAGTTAGTGCCAACACTGCTTTGATAACAAAAATCACATTTATATTTTATTGCAAATAACTCTCATGCCCTTTTCCACTACATCCTTGATGGTAAACTAATTTCAAACATCACTATCTTTCTTTCTTGGTACCTTAAAATTACAAGGGTCATCATAAGATTGTGCTTGTACGGTATCCATAGGGTTATAAATAATTGAATTAACCAAAATACCCTAAACCGACATGATGACCAAGCCATTTTTGCCTTTGGGTCATGGGTCACCAGTTCGACCATCCAGGTCAGAGGGATCAAATTGTGCCCAAGGTTCAAAAAATCGTTACATATCGATACGTATCGTATTGGGCCCTTCCCGATATGCCCCTATAAGGGTTGTATCGGATCAGGGCCTGCTTCAGAGGGTAGCCGGGACTTGAACCGACCCCTCTGAACCAAAATCAGAAAAAAAAGGGGCCGATACTATATATATATATGTGTGTGTGTGTGTGTGTGTGTGTATGTATATCTATACTACTAATAAAAGAGCAAGTAGCTTTGCATTCTGGACTTTTATTGGACCATTGCTACCCTTCTTTGTCTAACTGATTCGTTAGACAATGAAGGGCAAATTGGTAAATATATGTTTATCACTGTAGGAGTGTTTCGTTGAGAGCCTCTCTCTCCCACTACTTCGTGTCTCCCTCTTTGGTTTCTCTCTCAGAACCGAGAAAGAAGACATTATCTTCCAGTTTATTTTGAATCCTTTGGTAAGTTTTTCTTCCTCAAACCCTCATTCTTTCGGTTACGAATACCTTATGTTGTTTCTTTCTCAGAAACAAGAAAGAAGAACATATTTTTCACGTCCTCTTATTCCGTTTAATCTGAGAATGAACTCTCCCACGAAGTCTCCAACCATTTCTCTCACAATTGGAGATTATAGTTATCTGAAAATCTATATAAATGGGGTTTTTGCTTCCCTTGGAGTACGCACAACTCCAACACAGCAATCGGATGACTCATTTGTTTCATTTGCAATAAACGCCAATGCCTATGTGTTGCTGCTATGGCGGCGTTTTTTCGATAAACGCCCATGAAACCAAATACAACCTTAATAAAATCAAAATTTCTAAAAACCTTAGGTTTAGTTTTGAAAGAGTACAATATAGATATATAGAGTACACAATCTTATATTTTGTATCATTTTGCATGTAGCTGCACTATATATATTTGTATTTATACTCTTTCCAAACAGAGCCTAAAGAATGTTTTAATTATTATTAAACATGTACGTGCATTTGCATGTGACAATATCTCTAAGACAAAAATATTTATAATTCATGGATAGTTTCTAAACCGTTATAAGTGGGTAATTTCTAGACAGTTATAAATGAATAGTTTCTAAAGTGAGAATAACAAACATATATGCTCTTTTTATGCCCATTGTATGTTTAGACAATGAGAATATAAAACGTTCAATGAAAATTTCAGAAAAAAGGGGCATTCGCTCTTTTATAAATAGTATAGATTTATCAAAAATCTTACACCAATATCACAGCACGTTTCATCTATTTCATCTATGCATGGAAGCATCTTCCCATGACTAAATATTTTAAAGTAAATGTTCTAGATACATGGCTAAACCTACTATGAGGTTGGTGTGAGGCAATTTCAGATTTCTGAGGGCGAGCACAGTCTACTTATCCCTTATAATAAATGCACATTACTCCAGTTTGGAGTGTTGTAATATTCATGTGGCATTCGATGGCATCCACGAACCTTCGTTTGCTGGTGTTATTTTATGAATTTTTTTGACACAATTGGCCCTACAAAAATAACTATACTTCTGCGGCTTTATCCATTATTTCTCACTCCATACCATGTTGTGTGGATCACGGTGGGAAGATGAAAGACGGTCAATTGGAGAAAACTGCTCTACTGCTCTACCATTCCAAAATTTTGAAAAAAAAAGCAGAGAGCTTATTGGCTTCAAAGTATATTTCATTACAGAGATATTCCAGTGTATTCATATTTTTCCCAAATATGAATAAAAAAAATTGAACACAGTCGCCATTAACAAAGAAGAGGACTTTGATGTTACTTGACTGGTTTAATGTTAAACAGCAGTGGCAAGATTATGAAAGATTAGGATGGTATTTCGGATTCAGCAGACAGCAGCAAAATACCAATTGTCATCAATCGCTTTCACTAATATATTAACAAGAGAAACCAGCCAATTTTCTTGATGCTTTAACGGAAGTAGATAAGATTCTTCGAGGAGGTTTTCTAATTTCGACAGGCCAGCCATTGATTATGAAGAAGGAACAAGAATTGGGATAAAGAGGGAGAGTGGAAGACGATGAACAACGATTCATTCCTTGCTTTTATTTAACTCGTTGAGTTGACTCATAAGTTAACTCGGTTTACATGCAATGCAACCCTGGGTAGCAACATGATTTGATCCCAATTTCCGCTACAAGTACAATTAGTCGGAGAACTAACCAGTAACCACCTCAGCCCGCCACCATCAGTATTGAGTCTATTGACTATTGATAGCCCAATAGCAATATCTTTGGGACTTTGGGTTCATTTTGCGTAATAACCAGACAATCCCTTCTCATGCAGCATAGGCTCCATAGAATGCATCTACTAGAAACTTGAACACAAGACATCAGTGACATAGAATGGTTAAATTTGGGCATTTTTGAAACGAAGCCCATCAATTGATAGGAAACATATGAAAATGGAGTCCAAATCGTTGGGAACATAAAAATTAATGGGTGGGGCACAGGACCCTATTATTATCTTTTAAATGCCCTATTTGATCTTTCACCTACTTGGACAATCATACAAAATAAGGGAACATGGATAACCGGGTCAAATAGGGAGCTTCCTTGCACCAACAATATATGTCAATTCATGCACAGATTATCCTTGGGCTGACAGTAGTTGGCTCGCTTCTGGCCCAATTTATTTTATCTAAAACAGGTCCAGCCCCTGCTATATGAGACAAGGATTTTAAAATCGAATTGGACAATGAACTGTTTAGGGTCCAATTTTTAGGTTGAACGGTCTGTCCATTAAATCAAATAAATGGTCTATTCTAATAATAATAAAAAAAACTGGTCAAACCATTGAACGGATTGACTATTTGAATCAACGATTTGCTGATTAAATCAACGGTTTTTAGGAAAATAACAGTTCTGGGGTAAAATGGAACCGATCACATAACCGATTTCCGATTTTTCTGATCCGACTGTCCGATCCGGTCCAGTTTTAAAAACCATGATATAAGGCTTATGCATTGCCCATATGATAAGGGCAGATCGATGGTTAGATGCATTCTAAATGTGTGGTATGAGATGCAGTCAATTGTCACGCTCGATCCATGTATCCGTCCAGCCCACTTTTGGGTCCTTCACACTGCTGCTTAACGGGGAGTGGGGATCCGAAGGCTACAGAATGATCGCAAATAGGTGCTCCGTGCTCCACATTGGCCCACATCGCTAGACGCAAGACCAGTTACGCTTACGCGCCACCTCCGATTTTCCTTAACACAGCCCTGGCCCAGCTCGATCTGATCAATTCAACATCATAGAAAAGTCATATAAAAGCTCTATTATAATTATTACGCTACAACCAAATTAACCTCCGATAGTTTGGGCCTTTGGGGAGTTTCTCACCTCAACCAGAATTTAAACAACATTACAACTCACGAAAATTACAAAAAAAAAAAAAAAAAACATTTACATCAGTGAGGAAACAACAAAGCATACAGGTTATTGTATATTTGAGCGTATCATACACCAAATATCGTTGCACACAAAGATGGGGCCCATATGAACTGAAAAAAGATGTGCCAGTTTGTATGGGCCTGTGGGGTAATGATGAAAAGCGTCTCGTACAAGAAAGAAAGATCGCGTGGCGTATTTCTACCCATTTGATTATAAATGCTGTTTTCCCGACAATAAGAAACTGTATGGAATAATTTTTCTAATATTCAATCAGCACATGCCACGTCAGAAGAAAAATAAAATATAAATGTGGGGGTAATTTAGTCATCGTGGTCTGGTGTGATCTTCCACAGAGCACAAACGTGAAATGACGAGGTTCGTCTTTTGTTCCCCCAAAGACCAGCTGCGAGAGTTCAAGCGATAAGCTTCCAACTTTCCAAGAGTCTACCGACCTGGTTTTTTGGGGAAGGGTTTTCGTTGCCACAGTATCTATGATCTGCATGATTTCAGGGAATTAAAAGAGGGGAAGAAAGAATCTTACTCTTTCTTTCTGTTCATAAATACTTCTTCATCAGATAAGTTCTTCGAAACAGAGGCTAAAAGGGGAACATCGTATTGGCGCCAATTCTTGTTGCCTGGGACCGAATAGGCGCGAATTGAAAGATTAACCGATTTCTATAGTTTTGAAACCATGAAGGCCATGGAGACATTGCAAGATCTGATCGAGGAAGCCAAGATTCGAACTGTGTGGTGGGCGTTAGTCATCTTCGCCGTATCGTACTTCTTGTCGCGTAAGCTGTGCTACTGGGATTTCTGGGATTACTTTTTCTTCTTTCTTTCCTTCTGGTTAATGGAAATTTTGCGAGAACCTGTTTGCCTGTAGTATGTATTCAACAAATATAGAATTTGACTCCAATGTTGTTTGCAGCTAACTGGTTTAACCACGATTAGGGTTTCAATGTTGCAATTTTGTATTGTATTGCTTTGGGTTCTATGGTTTTTCTGAGGGCTATCTGGAATTCTACTAGTAGCATTTGATTAATCATACTATAATGCTGTAGTGTGGTTTTACAGTGGAAGTTCGTTTAATTTGGTAGTTGCACTAGCAATCTTTGACAATCTTATAACAATTATGTACAAGTATTTTAAGTACATATAGTGGTGCCTTTTGTTCGTACTTATTATAGTGTTTTGCTCTGATGGGTGCACTTCGCACTCATTTTCTATTTCATCTATAAAAGATTAAGTAGTTTCCATCTCTCTGCTTGTCTACCAATGCCAATCTACAATAAACTTATTATATGCATAGTTTGCAAATCTAATCTAGCTAATCTACAACACACTTATTACATGGTTTCTTTAGGTTTCTAAAATTCCTACCATGGATCTGAAAACCTGTAGGTGCCGATTAAACCTTTCGCCCTGGTTTATTGTGTTTTCTTTTATGCATTTCATCTATTCAATGTTAAATACCTTTTATTTTTCTACAAAGGATGCCAACACTTGGGATATCCATTTCATCTTTCCCCTATTTAGCTATAAAGTTGCTGCACTTCTTATCTGTTCAATGACAACTTTGTTTCAAAATCCTTTTCTATTTACTGCAGATACAAGTAAATCAATGTGGATGAATATTCCCATATCAATTCTCTTGGTTTCTGGATTGCGCATTCTAACTAATGAGGTGGAGCTTCGCTGGAGGGTTCGACCAGTTCGTAGGCAGACATATCTATCTCACCTGGAGAAGGAACAATTGTCTCTGGATGATCCTCACCTTTCATTTCTTCCACCTCCCTCATCAAAATGGACGAGTAAAATTGATTCTCCTTTGGTGGAAGCTGCTCTTGATGAATTAATTAATAAGATTTTGCAGGAATTTGTGATAGATTTGTGGTACTCTTCGATCACTCCTGACAGAGAGGCACCTGAGCAAATACGCCTAATAATCACTAATGTCATAGGTGAAATATCAGGAAGGGTGAAACAGATCAACCTTGTCGAATTGCTAACAAGGTGCTTTTGTGTTACTTTTGTAAGTCACCAAATAATCTTTTATTGAGTTTGGTGGACATGAGTTCTTGACCATCAGAGCTAAGTGACTTTCTAATGTTTCAGGGATATGGTTGACCTGATTGGTGACCACCTTGATCTTTACAGAAAAAATCAATCTGCCATTGGTGCAGATGTCATGGCAACACTATCTTGTGAGGAAAAGGATGAGAGGCTGAAACATTACCTTATGGCATCTAAGAACCTTCACCCTGCTCTGATATCTCCCGAGTGTGAGTACAAGGTGTGAGTGGAGTGTTCTGATAAATTTTGGTTATTATTTTCTGCTTTACTATGTATTTGCATGCTTATATATTTACTGTTCCCTATTAGGTTCTTCAACGGCTCATGGGAGGAGTTTTGAGTGTGGTATTAAGTCCAGCAGAGGCGCAATGTCCTCTAGTTCAATGCATTAGCAGGGAATTTCTAACTTGCTTGGTGATGCAACCTGTCATGAATTTCGCCAGCCCTGTGTAAGATTTTGCTAAATTGTCTTCTTTCTAATTTCCTTATCTTTTATTGTTAGTAGAACTCTAGCATTTTTAACTTGGTACATGGCACCTGCGACAAGCATTTAGGTGTTGATGGGTAACTGAGACGTCAGTCTCTAGAAATCATTGACAGGAGAAAATGACTTTAGTTAAATATAAAATGTTGTTGGGTAATATAATCAAAATAAGATATCTATAAATAGACTTGGAAAATTAAAATATTGGCAGCATATTCAAACCTGATCTTTGTCAATATGTTTGTTGCATTTCATGATGATGCCTTAGTCGGCTGAATTAACAAATAGAGAAGGTGGAAAGGAGGATCATTTAAAAGGTCTAAAGGTTCAACATTATGCTGTTTTTTTTTTCTATTTTATTTTTTACTCTGTATGTCAATTCTTGTACAGCTTTTGGATTGTTCTCATTATTAATAAAATCGTGACTTTGAAAATGTGGAGGTTATTAACCATATTCTAAAAGATGTTTTTTACCAAAGTGAGGGCCATGACTTGAGTATTCAACTATTCATCCATTGATACTTTGGGGCCCTTTTCTTGGTCCTATTTTTTATGGTGCATGTGCTTACCCGCCCCACATACCAGGTGATGATTGATATTCCTTTTTTCAAAGTTTTAGATGTCTCTCCTTTTCTCCTCAATCTTTTATCTGGATACAGCTTTACAGCATTAGTCTTACCCCGCCAAGGATCAAAGCCTTTTGCTGGGAAGACTCTTTGAAGTTTGAAACCAATCAATACTTGCGACATGGTCCAACATAGTTGGAAATCTAATAATCTTCACCTTGTGCCTTATACATGTCAAGTGGGGAGAATGGCAACCACCTATTCCTTTCTTTGTCCCTTCATATCAGATATGTGGGACCATTTTGGCTCTCTTTTTGATGTTTAATGGTCCCCACCATCAGATATATCAGAACTATTTGGTTCACATTTCTTCCCCTCAAAACTAAAAGGATATTTGAAAGTGTATAAGGCCATCTTGTGGAGTGGGAGAAATTCCAGAATCTTTGGAAACAAGGAGAGATAATCCAATGTCATTGTTGATCTTGTGAGAATTTCTCATTGGATCTCCACTAAGAATTCAAGAGAGTTTACAGATCGTTATTTTCTTTTTGAGAAAAGGTAAGGTAATTTTCATTAAAAGCAAAGATGTATGGACCTCTGTACAATGAGGTTCTGTACATTATATCCATTTAGGGCCCTACAAAAAAAGAAGCAGACAAAGTGTCATCTTTAAATACATTATGCATGGGCAACCAATTTCTAATCTCAATAAAAAGAAACAAATATCAACTCCAAGAAAAGTAAAGGCTGTAAACTACTGGTAAAAAAGGGTTCGACTATGATATGGAAAAGATATGATATCCCAAAAACATCTGATCAATCAAGTGGAATCATAAATGTGGTAGGCAATCAGGTGTTATTTATCAAAATTCATAGGTGGGTTTTGATTGGTCAAAACTCTTTCTATACCATATCTTTCCTGCATCGTAGATTTTCCCGTAAAAAATAAAAAACAATCTGTAAACAGCATTTTGTAAAGTGGGGTTTGGAGGTATAGTGCTGTAGAGGCAGCTTTTGTATAGCCCCTGTGTATCATGTTGTACATGAGTTTTTGTTTTCATTTATAATATAATACAATACTTTACCTTCTCTCTCTCTCTCAAATAAAAAGCTGTAAACCAAAAGCGCAACAGTTATTTACTATTTTTTACTATTGATCCTTGTAGCTGCCACTATGTTTTTTAAAAGGGTAGCCGAATTGTTAAAATGGTCTTCTTTTAGATGCTAATGTTGAATATTACAACTACAATAGTATATTTCTTTTTTGCAGGTACATCAATGAGTTAATTGAGCATCTTTTCCTTGCTGCAAATGATGGTGACAATAGAGAGGCAAGTGGTGATCAGTCAGCTGATGGTCATCATCATGATCATTCTGGTGCAACTGGATCTACACAGGGTGTTGAACCTACAATGGAGAAAAAATTATCAACCTCTGATCAACCAAGTGGCATGATATTGGCTACAGGCAGCAACCAAGGAGGCATGGGCATGGATACTTATGCAAAAAGCAATATCTGCATGTCTAATGAAGACCGCATTCACCCACGACCTGCAGATTGGGCTAGGGTGTTAGAGGCTGCAACTCAGAGAAGAACTCAAGTTCTTGCTCCTGAAAATATTGAGAACATGTGGACTAAGGGAAGAAATTACAAAAATAAAGCTGAGAAGCTTGCTAAAGCAGGATCATTACCAGGATCTGTAATTAAGCCTCCAGGAACTGTGCTTGTCAGTAAGTTGAGCAAGGAAATGCCAGCCAAAATTCATGCAAGTCCTACAGGAACGGAGGATAAAGCTAATGTGCAATTCACACAGGGACTAAACCTTGATTGTCAATTTAGTCATGGAACTGACATTGAAAAACAGTCATCTCAGGATCTGAACAAAGGACCATCTTTTGGAGGGGAGCATGCTATATTGGAGGATAATACTGCTGTAGCTGCTGCTGATAAAAAAAATACTGCTGTAGCTACTAATGGAAAGAAAGCTCATCTTAAGCGATCTAATAGTACTTCTTCTTTGAACACCCAACCTGATGTAGAGAAAACATTTATAGGTGTAGGTGGATGCTCTATCATATCTGAAGATTTCTACAGCCCAAATTCTGGATCACATAAAGAAGATCATATTGTTAGCAGCAACCCTGATGTGGTATTCTGTAGTGAAGGACTACAACATGCCCCCAAGCTCAAGTGCCGGGTAAGAACCATTTACAAATGCTTGTTGAAAAAATTCTGGAAATATGATCTAAAAATTGTCTGTAAGAAATGAGAAGTTGAAGTCCATGTAGTTTTGTGGGCTGATTATACTGCTTCTCAACAATGTTGCATAGACTTCCTAAGGCCCTGTTTGGCATCAATTCTCCAGATTCTGATTCTTAGAGTCCATCCAGAAAAGAATGGATTCTGAGAATTCTCATCCAAAGAATCTGCAAGATGTGTTTGGCACGGTCATCTGATTTTTATTTCTCAGAATTAGAATCACGTTTGGCATCATCATATTTCCTCATATAAATATTCTAAATGAAAACAAAGTTAGAATTTACTTCAACTAACCTGTCTTATAGAGGATGGGTTCAAATCTGCAGAGCTAGAATTTCAACTGACCTGTCCTTGGTTTAAAGCAAGGTTAGAATTTATTTCAACTGACCTGTCCTGTAGAGGATGGGCTCAAATTTATTCCAACTGACCTGTCCTTGGTTTAAAACAGTTGAACTGAACTTTTAAATAAGAGGATGGGTTCAGACCTGCAAAGCTAGAATTTCATGCCTCATCAATGTTTTTTATAGTAGTCTTTCATCAATCCAAACAGTTCTCTATCTGAGATTCATGTTTTCACTTCTGCAACTTTTACCAGAGGAAGAAGATCTGGCTTTCTATCCATTAAATTCTTACCAACACCTTGAGTCCAACCAACTCTTTCATGTGAAAATTTTCTTAGCATATGCCAGTATACCTGTCTCTGTTTTACTTGCCATTGTTACTGAATTTTCAAGTTCAACAACTTTTAGCCTCACAAAATGATAAAGGAATCCAAATCAAGCAATGGTGAATTTCTGCTTCTTTGGGAGCAGTCATGAATTCCCATTTAACTCATAGAATCCATCATATCCACCATATGCTCCAGTAATTTATAGGCAGTATGCTGCCTCAGTATTAAATTGTAGAGAACACTGATGTGGGCCCCACTGCAGTGGTCCCCACTGTGTTCGTAGGACAGCAGTGTAGTTATTTGTTTCAGTTATAGTAGTGTCAGTTTGTTAATTCAGTTGTTATTTATTTCAGCTTTTATTTACTTTATTTATTATGTAAGTACTAAGGGCAGATGTRTCCTTTCCATTATGTAYTAAACATAACCTATAAATATTAAGAGAGTGGCGGCGGCAGATCTTTTAGAATCTGTCCCTCCTTTCAACTACTTGTGTTCTCCTGTTTCTCTTCTATTAAGAGAGTGCAGCTGAGCACTTAGTGTTTAAGTTTTTAGGCAGTATGCTGCCTCAGTATTAAATCATTAATAATCAACTTAAAACTTATCAACTATTGATATAAAAGCAGTGTCAAAGTAATATAAGAACAATAAAACACAACAATTTGCTTTTCTCTGCTTATAGAACAAAAGTATCCAATCATGTTACACTGCTTGATCTCTGAACCTCTTAGTAGTATTTTCCTTTCTCTGTTTCTCCCTAGATTTTAGTTTCATTTTAATCCAGTAACATTATCTGCTATATATATGGTTCATCCTTACCATACTGATAAAAAGACATTCCTGTAGAAGATATTCTATCAATATATAGCCAATTGCATTTTTGACATTCTCTATGAGGATAAGTAGATTATAGTTTGACTTAAAAATTTAATATCTCTGAAACTACTACTATAGTTTTAGAGATAAAAGGCATAAAAAATGATCCATTGAACTGGTGATTCACAAGTATGTGGCCCCAAATAACACTTGCTAAACACAACCACAAAGCATGAAAAAACCCAAAAGCCATCGTCTGATATTGCAGTATAGGTTTTTCAAGAGAGGAGAAAACGTTGAAAATGTCTAGAATAAGAGAGAAGAAAATGCTTGAAAGATAAAAAAAGCAAACCAATACAATAGAAATTAAGAAAAAGGCGAAGTAGAAGATAGTTTACCTGGAATTTTGTGGTGGGTTTTGAGATCTAACGAACCAAAACAATAGAGCTTGAAGATGACTGGAAAAAATTTAAGAATGGAGGCAAAGAGGATGTTTGAATGAGAAAAAAAGAAAAACATGAATGTATGATAGCAAAGAAAATTGAAGAAAACATAATGAAACAATGAGATTTTTATCACACAGCCTATTGGTTGCCTTTGAAAAGAAAATGTAGGGAGCCTTATTTTTTTACATCAAGTTTTGTTAATTTGATTAAAATTATAAATGGAATAGAAAATTGAGCAAGTTGGAAGACGATGATGGTTGCTTGGATGACTGGGAAGCCGTTGCCGATGCCTTAACAGCAAATGAGAAACAGCAACACCCAACCACTGAAACTCCAACTCAACCTGAAATCCCAATTACATCAGCCATTCCTCCTGAATCGACCAATGAAACCTCTGAAGCGGGCACTTTGAAACCGGAATCCAAGGGAACAGTCTCCAGGTCCGCGCCTAACGGTTGTGCATGGAGGCCTGATGATGTCTTCCGTCCGCGGAGTCTGTCTAATCTCTCAAAGCAGCATAGTTTTGCAACGAACACGGAGAGGCGTTGCGGTCATGGAACCATTAACTGGGCCTGCCACAGTTTTAATTCACAGCCTTCTTTGTGCCCTATCTGCTACAAAGATCTTGATCTCACGGACTCTAGTTTTCTACCATGCTCATGTGGATTTCGTCTCTGTTTGTTTTGCCACAAGAGGATTCTTGAGGCTGATGGGCGTTGTCCTGGCTGCAGGAAGCAGTACGATGTAGACTGGGAGATGGGTGTGAATGGAGGTGCTCAGCCATTACGCTTGACTCATTGTTGTAGCATGAATACAAGGTCTTAAGGAGAGTCTTTGTGTTCTCAGAATATGATGTATGCGGGATTTTCTTTCTTTTTTAGCGTGTCTTTGCATGGTCTGTTCACCAGTAGAGCTCTGATTTTCCTTCAGAAAGATGTGAATATAGGATAGGGATATGAAGCACTTCGGGAACTGAACTCGACCTCTTTTGAGTTTGATTCTCACATGTACTCTGCTTATGCTGATGTAGAGGATTAAGCGAGTAATTGGGTATGTGAATACATAAGGTGGTATAGATACAGAATACATCAAAAATAGAAAATTGAGCAAGTTTTCACTAATCCGCTGGAGATTGGCCAGCTCGAGATGAGAGAATGATACCCATACAGAGCAAGAGCTTCAGAAAAGACGATAATGAGAATCATACCCACAAACAGCTTGGGCTGCTATGCATTGGCCCTAACACCAACATCACCGACGATACCGATAGCCATTTCGGTGGAGAGCCCAGCCCACAAACAAGACCAGATGACAAGTGAGCATACCCATCAAACATATGACTTTCCCTTAGGGTTAATCATTGTACTGATGATAACATCAATGATCAAACTATAATTACCCAACGCTCCTGCCATAACAACTGGAACGATTGATTTCATGACAAGCTCAGGCCGCATACCATTGATGCAACACCAATGCCATTCTTTGCCATCCCATATGCAGCACCCATGCTGGAGAAAATGAGGGCTGCTGCGGCTCCGATTGACCTGCAGAAGGGAGCAGTTTCATCACCACTGAAAGTTGAAGACATTTTTGCAAAGATCCAAGAAACTCTAAAACCTTGATTTCAGTTGAACTGCTTTGCTCTTTGATTGTGGTTCACTTAGTTGTTATTCTCTTTCGAGAATGAGAAGAAGGTTGGATCGACAAGGAGGAGTGATGACAGTGATAAAGTGAGCTTTAGAGTTGCAGAGAGAGCTGTTGGAACTTGGAGAAAAACACGCCAAATTGAAGAGGATTTGGGGCTTTTGTCGAGCCTATCGTAATTTTCTTGCTAAATTACTGAACACGTTTGCACATGAAACATGGGCACACATGTTCGTATTTTTATTAGAGGACGTAGCAAGAATTCTAAGGATGAGAGATTCTCATCCTTAGAAATGACTTTTTATCGTTTCCGAGAATCGCAAATTTGGAGTAGAGATTCCATCTTGAAATGAAGCGATTCTGAAAATTAGTCAAACCCAAACGACATTCTCATTCAGAGAATTGCCAGAATCGTTAGAAACGATTCTTTGAATGGATGCCAAACAGGGCCTAAATGGATGGAACATCCACATCAGACATGCATCAGATTGTGACACTGCATGGATTTTTTTTTCTTTGATAAGAAACACTGAATTGTGTTCAAGAAATAAAAAGTGATTACAATATGCCAAGTACAACATACGGTGATAAGGTATCAGCACAAGTATGATATTTTATTTTAATGACATTTTCTCTTTATTCTTCAAAAAAAGCCAAGTATCCCAAGCTATGGGGTAAGGAGTAGCTTCCAAAGTTCACTGAAAAAATAAGGGAGTGGTGGATGGAAGATGGGATCGATATCAATAATAAAGGAGTGAGATTCATGAAAAAACTGAAGAGGTTGAAAGAAAGGATAAAGGATTGGAATAAAGAAGAATTTAGGAGAATTGAAGATAAAAAGGACTTAATTGCTAAAATGATTGAGGAGTTAGATTAAAAGGAGGTTCAGAGAGTGTGTAGTGAGGAGGAAAGGTCGGAGAGATGGCACCTAAAGGTAGAATTAGAGGGAATTTTGAGGAAGGAGGAAATATCTTGGAGACAAAAATCGAGATGCAAGTGGCTCTTGGAAGGTGATGGTAATACTAAATTCTTTCACTTGGCCAATGGAAGGAGGAGGGAAAATCTGATTTCTAGTGTTGAGGTGGAAGGTTAGGTGTTAACTTCAGAGGATGACATAGTAAAGACTTTTGTGGATCATTTCAAGTCAATTTTTGCCACTCTAGGTGAAAGGAGTTTGGAGGTAGAGGATATGGACTGGACTAGAGTTTCGGAAGAGCAAGTAGCTCTCCTAGAAAAGCATTTTAGTGTGGAAGAGATTCATGAGGCAATTTTCTCAGTGGCGAGATCTAAAGTCCTTGGACCAAATGGCTTCTCTATGGCATTCTATCAGGATTGCTAGGAAATTATAAAATCAGATTTCAT